AAATGGTTTTGTGTTTCAAATATCTAATATGATAAAAAAAACAAAGTTTGATATAAAACCGGTATGCAGAGTTGGCGATAAAAGATAAAAGATGGAGATAAAAAATCTGTCGGACATAGTGTCCTACAGATTGTCAAAAAATCACAAAAACTACAGGACACACTGAAAATTTGCCGGACAAAATGTAAAAAAACAACAAAGTATGTGAAGCTGAATTTTAATTAAGATGCATCAATCAATAACAATAATTGAATGGACTGTACCATAAAATTCGTGCATGGTACACAAAACATCATTAAACAGGGAATTATTTAATCTTAGACTAATTATAAATCCTGGATTTTCAGAAAATTCTGAAATCAGGTGTAGTGCCCGAAAACTAACTTAGTTTTGCTTGAAATTATCAGTTTTCACTGTAGTAGATACTGTCTAAATGGGTAAGTGTGTATATAAGAAGCTAATATAATTGAATTATTGTTTATTTTTATTCATTCATGTTTTTATTGTGTTCCAATTTCATATTTTTATTGTTTATTTTCAGTCATAATTATTATTTCTAGGATAAATGTCTTTTATGCAGTGTATCTGGTGTTCTACTGTTGTAGCTGTAGAAAATAATGACGCATGCGCAGATGGGGGTTAGTCGATGCCTGGCATCAAAAAACGACTAACCCCCATTTGCGCATGCGTCATTATTTTCTCGCTAAATTCTGCAGTTTTCTGCAATCAAACGGCGATATTAAAATAATCCATCGAATTTCCGTCATTAAATTATGCTACGACTCCACTGTTATCGCAATACGTTCCTTCCGAGTTGTAGATATCCGTTAAACATTGCCAACAACGCACGGCTTCATAGTCCCCATGAATGAAGACCCGACTGAAGAAATGACTCGCAGCAAACGAAAATACATACCGATGTGTATTCCGCACGACAACTGCAAACACTTACATATGTTTTCACAACCGTAACAACTTTTAAATCCAACGAAATGGTAAAAAAAACGCAGCGATGTAAACACTACCAAATTTACAGCAGCTTCCTTATGCAGACAACCACTCCTCGACGTCACAGTCGTAAAATACGACGTCACAGGTACACTCTTTTCCCGAACTTTTCTAAAGCAAAATGGCGATTAAGCATTGTACGTAATATAAGGCATACTGTCTTTGTTGTTCAGCACACGTACTTTTAATTGTCTGTAAAAAGTTCTCCTTTAACCAGGTAATTGAATATCACAAGAGGAAAGGAAACTGGAATGTCTTCAGTACAGAAATCGGTCTTTGAAAATTGAAGATCCATGATCCGCCCACTTGTTTCACCTCCAGCTAAGAGGTGCATATTTAGTGTGCAAATCTAGAGTTTTCAAGCCATTGTGACGTCACCCTCAATAATTTGTAACAGATCAGTGAAATCTTACACACGAATCAATAAAAAATAATAATAATAATATAGTTAAACTGTGGAAAACGTTAGTTTGAATTCTTGTGTACCATAAACAAATTCCCAAGCCTTTGTGACATTACTCCTAAACTTGCAATGACGGGGAACAGAGAAAAATACTGCGTCATAAATATAATAATAATAGTATTTGAATACACCAGTCAGATTAAACCACCCCGTGTCCTCTTTTCTTGTACTTTACAAACGTATTTTTTTTTTAGACAGAATACCCCCCCCCCCCCCCCCTTGGCGAAAAACGGATCAAGTACTCAGTTCAAATATTTTAATTTTTATTATTTTCATCATCAAAATATATATATATTTGTATTGGCTCAAAAAAAGAATTGAACAAGTTAAATTGATGCAAAGCATCAAATAGACCTCAAAAATATATAAAGCAAAAATATATAGAGCATTCTGAAGTATTTCCAAAAGAAAGAGCACCCTCCCCCCTCCAAAAAAAAAAAATGCATTTATGGCAGAATCTAGGAGAGGTGGTTCTAAGAAAAAAAAATAAAATATTTTCTTCAGTGGCATGTCTGATGCACCTTGGAATTTAGTGGTTTTTTTTATTTTTTTATTATAGCCTTAAAATATTTCTGAATCTAGGGAGAATCCACAGTGTGCAAGTCTTTCTAAGACACTGTGAGTTACCCCAATACCCTGCATATTTCACTTACCCATTGAGAAGAAGGTAAACATGGCCTATTTACATCCTTCATACGTTCAAAGGCAACATTTCTCAATATTTGAAATTTTAATTCTTTTCCCCAGACACTCTCCTTCCTATCTATGCCCTAAAATCTGTCCATCCCACTCCGTGCGAATCCTAAGACATATTTACGGGAAAAAACCCTGCGCTTTGCGTGGTCAATGAAATGGGGTAAATTAGTAACCTGTGGCATACTTATACTTTCTAAAATCAAATTAAGGGTTACATACAAATTCCAACATTTAATTTAATTTCCTTTTTATTTAACTTTGTTTATTGTTTACTCTTTTATTTTCTATAATTATATGTTTCATTTTAAATGTATTATTATTATTATTGAGCACATAAAATATTGAAATTATGCCACCCCCCACCCCCCGAAAAAAAAATTAAAGGCGTCATATTATTCTTTTAAAAATAAAATTTAAAGCTTTAATCTTATATCTGTAAAAGTTTTGGATCCTTCCCTCAACACTGTTGACATCATTTGTCTCGGATAACATAAAGATAAGCGTAAGCCAGCGTTAATTGCGCTTTGATTGAATTCAGTCTGCATGCAGCTACACCAGAGAAAATCCACAGAATTTCTTCCCATGTAGAAATGTGCATCTTTATGATAGACTTTTACACTTGTTCGACTTTTCTGTGTGTGTTTTATTCCCTCGCAACGGAGTTGCGTGTTTGTTTGTGGGTGAGTGAGATAATTTTGTGCGAAACGGAAGTGACGTAATTTGCATTGAAATCGATGTCGGATGCTGCCTTAGCTTATGGATAATAAATTGTGCAGCTCGATCACTATATAATAGTATGCTGCTAATCTATTATTATTATCATTTTCTTTAGCGTCATGTGGTTTTCTACCTTCTCAATATTTTTGTCCCCGTTTCAGACAATTGTGGGTATGTTACAAATCTTGCATTTTCACGAGTATCTTATTTGTGGTATTGTAATCTTCCATTTATACCTACATGTTAAATATAACATGGTTAATATTCTACCATATTACGATATTTAAAGTTTATAAGTATTATAAACTGAGTTTATACCAGGGAAACAAATAAACTCATTCACTTCCTTAATGAGGCCCCTTGGTGGAAGATTTCCCCTGCGGGGGCCCCATAGATGGCCAATATTACGGAGGGAAAATACCCAGCCTCTTTCTGAAGCCAACGCCATAGCTGGCAGCATCTCGATTCCATTAGTTTTACAACAGCTATTATAAAAATTATTCACTCGACATTCATTTTATTTCTGTCGTTTTTGTTCCACTGGACTAACTGCTTTACTGGACTTTTACGTGACTACTACATGTGTTTACCATGTGTTATTGTTGTGATTAGGAATTAGTGATCCGTGTCTTTGGATTTTGACCCCACTATGAATCGCGCTAGATCACGATCCAGGGTTAGAAGGGCAGCAACAGTAGACGTTGACGACCCTAACAATTGGACAATTGATAAATTAAAAAATGAATTAAAATTGTGCGGCATCGATATTAACCATTCTATTTCCCACAAAATACTAGTGAAATTATGGTTAGATAACAAAGGCAAGAAAGAGTTAAGTACCGATGGGGAAACAATATATATTGACTCTGCTCAGAAGAGACCAAGCGCAGGAAGGAATGAGAATGAAAACATAGCTCAAAGTACCTCCAGTATAACGGAACGAATTGACGAACTTTCCGCTTCAGCTTTTGCTGAAATTTCTGTACCCCATGGAGGGGCCCCTCCTTACACCAATGTAAATGCGCATGCGCCAACGGAACCAAACGCAGTTCCGGAGAGAAACATAAATACTGAGAAGTCTATGTTGATGGCGACGGCGTTCGCATTACAGGAGACAGTAAAATTGATACAACAGACGCATAAAGATAAAGAAGAAGAAGACTATTCATTACGCAAATTTTATGAAAACCGAAGTAGTGCACCATTCGCAGCTGGATCTCCAGACCAATTAGCGGCTACCCAACTACACCCGAATTTGTTCAAAAGTACCATGAAAGAAACGAGTGCGAGCGGCGTCCCTTCTGCGGACTTACAGCACGTGATGGCAGTATCACCTACAATCCGGAAAGAAATCATTTCGGGTAAGGATGTTAACATGTGTAAACTCTTGTTGTCAAATTATGTAGCCCCTAAAACAAAGAAAGAAGAAGACAAGGACGAACGTCTTAACAGAACATTATCCATCGGCGAATTCGTAAAGGCCTTCACCATATATAAATCAATCATGGTCGAAACCTTTCCTCAAAGAAGTAGAGAATTAGACGGATATCTATCTCACATCATTGATGTTTATTCCACTTGGGGGCAACAATTTTACGAGTATCATAAATTGTTCTCTGCCAAAGCTTCAACAGCCCTCTTACAGTACCATATTAAAGTAGATTGGGCTTTGGGGGACCCTGACCTATTAATGAGAGTCTGTGCAGGATCTAGTGTTACGAAGTGTGAAAGATGTGGTTCGACAGTTCATAGCACACTGATGTGTAATGTTAAAGAACAGAAAATTCAAAGGACAATGAACAGAGATGTCGACATGCATGGAAGGAGTAGAAGATATCATCAGGGCAAAGAACTCTGCAACAATTACAACAGTGATAAGGGCTGCTTGAGAACAGAATGCAAGTTCCAGCATGTCTGTGTTATCTGCTTCCAGCCACATAGTGCTATGAAATGTAAAAGGAAGAAAATAGAAAATTCACCTCATGGCAGTGGAAAGAACAATGCAGAATTACAGCCTTCAAAATGACTAGAATTTAAAGCTTCTACACCAATAAATATTCATCGGTTGGGCAGTGAATTACAAGAACATCCAGATAAAACTTTTGTACATTATTTGATGGATAGTCTAACCAACGGTTTTGACATTCTGATACAGCAAGAGGAAATCTGTAGCAGTAAAGAATGTAGGAATTTGAAATCAGCTCGTGAAGACCCCCAGACAGTTGATAGTCTCATAAGGGCTGAAGTGGAGAAAGGTTTCGTCATAGGCCCTTTTACATCCTCTCCATTCATGTTACATAGAATTAGTCCTGTGGGAATAGCAGTTGGAAAATATTCAGGAAAGAAAAGGCTTATTTTAGATTTATCTTCACCCCATAATGACCCAAATCATGAAAGTATCAACAGTTTAATTGACAAAGAGAAATGCTCACTTTCGTATGTTAAAATTGATGATGCTATTCGACACATTCAAGAATATGGAAAAGGGTCAATTTTGTGTAAAACAGACATTCAAGACGCTTTCAAGCAAATTCCTGTATTACCTGAACAGTGGCGTTTTCTGGGTTTTAAATGGAACAAGAACTATTATTTTTGTGTAAGATTACCATTTGGATCTCGATCTAGCCCCAAGATATTTGATAATCTTTCTCAAGCAGTGTGTTGGATTGCACAGCACAACTATGGTATCCATACAATTTTGCATTTGCTGGATGATTTTCTTACAATTGACAGGCCCCAAGGAGATGGAGAAAGAACTATGCTGATATTAAAAATGATTTTTAAAAAGCTGGGAATTCCTATATCAGAGAAAAAGACCGAAGGTCCGTCGACTCGTCTTACTTATCTCGGTGTTATTCTGGATACAGAGAAAATGCAAGCCATTTTACCAGAAGAGAAAGTACAGCGCATTGCCAACTTTATTCATGATCTTTTAAGGAAAAAGTCATGCACAAAATTAGAACTTTTACAATTGTTGGGGCATTTTAATTTTGCCACCAGAGTCATACTACCAGGCCGGGCATTTGTAAGCTATCTAATAAGTCTATCCACTACAGTGAAGGAATTACACTATTATGTGCACTTAAATCAAGAGTGCATAAATGACTTGAAAATGTGGCTTACTTTTCTATCCGACTGGAATGGAGTTTCACTTTTTTATGAGCGTTATCTTACGTCCAATGCAGACCTCCATCTTTACACTGATGCGGCTTCGAATTCAGGTTTTGGAGGATTCTACGATGGAAAATGGTTCAGTGAACCTTGGCCACCTGACCTAATGGAATCAACAAATGCAAAATGTCCATAGCATTTATGGAACTGTATCCAATAGTCGTTGCAGCCATTCTTTGGGGACATAGTTGGAAAGGGAAACGAATTCAGTTCATGTGTGATAATGAAGCAGTAGTTAAAATCATACAAAAGGGACGTTCCAAAGAAACTTATATTATGAAACTTATGCGTAGTTTAGTTATGTGTTCTGTGCAAAATAATTTTGTAATATATAGCAAACATGTTCCAGGCAGTTTCAATGAAATAGCTGACGCTCTTTCTCGTTTTCAGTTTCAACGATTTCGCAAACTAGCTCCAAATGCAGACACGAATCCAACCAAGTGTCCCCAGTTACACCAAGTTTTATGGGACTTCAAACCGTAGTGAGTGAACTTTGGGACAGAGCTATCGGTGACAAGACCAGACGTCAATACCAGATTGGTTTCCAGAGTTTCCTAAGATTTGTATCGTTGATGAACTTGAACTCAATTAATGGCTTGCCGATTGTTAGTGAGAAAGTGTTTATACAATATGTTAGTTATTGTTATTCTGAGCTGCAACTAAGTTATTCTACTATCAAACTTTATTTAAGTGGTATACGATACATGTACCTACGAATAGGTGGTTTTAACCCCCTAGAAAGCTATGGGAAACCATTACAAGGTCTACAAACCATTTTGTCAGGCATAAAGAAATCACAATGTAATAGAGACAAAAGAATTCGCTTGCCTATTACCATAGATATTTTAACAAAAATGTGTATGTTACTTGATCAAGGAATTTTTGATGTTTTCACAGATAGTATGCTTAAATCTGTTTGTACTTTAGCTTTCTTTGGTTTTTTAAGATGTGGGGAATTTACCATTGAGGAAAAATTTGTTGCCACAAATAATATATGTATTGACGATTTAACACTTTTTGAAGATCATTTGGTTTTGAATCTTAAAAGATCTAAGACAGACCCTTTTAGGAAGGGCGTTTCCATTCCAATTTTTGCAAATCAAACTATTACATGTCCAGTGAAAGCCATGACCAAATATTTAAAAATGAGAAGCATCAGGGCTTTACATGAAGAACCATTATTTTTACAAAGTGACAATAGTGCATTATCTCGTAGTGTTTTTATTCAGAAGGTAAAAATTTTGTTAGATAAACTTGGATTAGACAGTAAAAAGTACAATGGCCACTCTTTTAGAATAGGGGCAGCAACCACAGGGTCAAAAGTTAGATTGGAAGATCATTTATTGAAGACCCTTGGTCGCTGGTCATCCGACTGTTACACAACATATATACAAACCCCAATTGAGATTATTAGAGATGCTCAGATAGCTATGTCTAAGGATTAAAGACTTAAATTTGAATTGTGTGGTATATGAAATATATATATATATGTAGATAATTTCAAGAAGGAAATGTAAATATATTTCTTTTATTTGTATGTTTTTGTACATTGGCATCGTACATGTAAGCTTACTTTAATTGTACTTGGCAGATGGAGTGAAGTATGTTTATGTATAAATATCCAAGCCACTTACATTTTACAGAAGTAAAAATATGTTTATGCACAGCAATGGTTTAAGTTCTACAATACCTACATGATACAACACATACAAGCAAAGTACTGTGTACTTTGTGGACAATATTTACATCAATGCACATTTACAGCAAGTACTTGCGTACTCATTTATACATAGATGTGCTTACGCACATAAAAACAGGGACTTACGTACCACGTATACCTTGCTGTGCTTACGCACAATTACTCCAAGTACTTACGTACTTTCATATATATACCTATGTGCTTACGCACACTTACATCTAGTACTTACGTACTACTTACGCACAGGAACAGGTACTTACGTGCCAACATATACTTACCTGTGCTTACATACAATACATAAAGTACTTACGTACGACTTACACACAGAAACAGGTACTTACGTACCACTATATAATTACCTGTGCTTACGCACAACTACTTCAAGTACTTACGTACTTTCATTACATATACCCTTATGTGCTTACGCCCAAATTACAAGTACTTATGTACTACTTATCCACAGTAACAGGTACTTGCATGCCATCATATACTTACTTGTGCTTACACACATTACATCAAAGTACTTGCATACTTTCTTATATACCCATATTATATACATTGTTCTCTTGCAATTGAGTCACTATTGTTAGTAATGCATACTGAAGCAACAGTTTTAGGAGAGAGGATTAATTATCATCTTGGGGACAACAGCTGACACTGTTTTTGGACTATTCATAAAAAAAATATAGTAACATTTTTATTTCTTATCCCCAAGATTTAAGGGGATTTTAGTTTGCATATGTATTAAGTAGTTGCTTATGTATTAAGTAGCAAATTTGTGTCTTTGCAGTGTATCTATAATGGTTGTCAGTTGTTGATCCCAAGAGCCAACATTTAGATTGTTTAGTAATAAAATATCTACCGAATTACAGAATTTGTTTTCTTTGGTATAAATTAAAGTTTATAAGTATTATAAACTGAGTTTATACCAGGGAAACAAATAAACTCATTCACTTCCTTAATGAGGCCCCTTGGTGGAAGATTTCCCCTGCGGGGGCCCCATAGATGGCCAATATTACGGAGGGAAAATACCCAGCCTCTTTCTGAAGCCAACGCCATAGCTGGCAGCATCTCGATTCCATTAGTTTTACAACAGCTATCCACCACCATCCCCGCCACTCTCCTAGAACTGTTGCCATGGGGTTAACAATTTGTTTATGATTATTATTTTAGAAAATTAAAGTAGTCCGTCATAGTAACATGGACTATTCATGAAAAAATATAGTAACATTTTTATTTCTTATCCCCAAGATTTAAGGGGATTTTAAAAAATATAGTAACATTTTTATTTCTTATCCCCAAGATTTAAGGGGATTTTAGTTTGCATATGTATTAAGTAGTTGCTTATGTATTAAGTAGCAAATTTGTGTCTTTGCAGTGTATCTATAATGGTTGTCAGTTGTTGATCCCAAGAGCCAACATTTAGATTGTTTAGTAATAAAATATCTACCGAATTACAGAATTTGTTTTCTTTGGTATAAATTTAATATTATTTAATTAAATGTGATCTTATTGTAATAATTGTATTTGCCCTCTGAAGGCCCTTGATTGGTGAATAAACATACTATTATATATCATATTTCAACAACATGGGAATGGAAAGGGGCTGTAAGCCTTTGAATGAAATTGTCCATACAAGGACTCTTTTCGGACAAACTATTATTGCGCAGATTTAGAGGGATATCTGGAGTGTCCAACTCCACCCTCGGATATTTTCTGAAATATAAAATTTAAATAGCAAAGTAAACCAAAATGACCCCCCCCCCCCCCCCCCCCCCCGTTTAAAAAAAACTCAGACACTTAGGACACTTGGTAAAATGTGATCGAATGAGTCATTTACATGTCCTAACACCCGCTCCCAAATAGATTGTTCGCTGATTCTTGGCTACTCCAAAAAATTTGAGATTTTTTTTCTGTTAGAGTTGCCCCCTCATTCTCCTAACCTCAGAAAATAATCACACGTTTCAAAGCACACCGTCATGTAAGAAATATTAATTTGTTTATATTTCACATAAATGAATCCTTCTAAATTAAATCCTTTCTCTCCATATAGCGTCCCTGCATTGATGATGATTTTCCTGGTCGATGTTCACAGGCTCGACTTGTAGTACTAGTAATGCAGTGCTGGATTTTCAAACTCGCAATCGCGTGGCAATATTGTATAGGAACAGATCACGTCACATTTTGATAAAATATTTTGGAAAAAATAAAATAAATAATGATAGTGAAGGTAACATTATGTAAGCAAAATCATATAATTGTTCTTTTTTTGCTGGGAAAATTGTTAGACTGGAGTGATGCTTTTATAATATGCACTGTATTATTTCTTCTTCGAACAACAGTTAACACTTTACATGGAGGTTTACAATTCCTTAATTTTGTTTATACTAATGTAGATTAAATATTATCGATAATGTAAACCTTTTGTCTTTATATGCTATTTTTAAATGTCTCATTTCAGCTGATGCATAAAAAGAGAGATTTCTTTTTATTGACAATACAGCCCCGTAGAATACCTGGGGGGGGGGGGGGGGGGGGGTGTAAGTATAGTTTTTCACTGTTGTAAATCTTTATTTAAATGCTTCCTGTAGTCTCCCCCGTTTTGTTGCAGCATTAAGATCGAGCACTCGCAAACTCCTGCAGTTGAAAAAGAAATATACTAATGTACAACCC